TGTGCAGAATCGGATCGCATAGGTGTGAATACCCATGTGATCCGATCCTAGTGCGGACCAAAAAAAGGGTCCTGCATCTTTTTAGTGCAGCGTTTCTGTGTGAATTCCGCACCACATCAGAATCGTACCCTGTTCATGTGTACCGCTGCGGGTGCGTATGTTAACACCCCGAAATCGGATCGCAAAATGCGGTGTGATGTGCAGAATCGGATCGCATAGGTGTGGATACCCATGCGATCCGATCCTAGTGCGGACCAAAAAAAAGGGTCCTGCACCTTTTCAGTGCAGGTGCAGTGTGATTTGAGCCATACAAAATGTATGGCTCCAATCACACTGCACAAAAATTGCATGTGATTTGCACAGGAATGCGGTGCGAATCACATGCGATATACTGCACCGCATATATGTGAACCCAGCCTCAAGTTGAACGTATGCCGATTTGAGAGTTTGTTTGATTCCACTTCCATCCCTGCTACAACCTGTGGAACTCTGTATTGTCCTGTACAACTGCTGTCTTTATACTTTGCCATGCTAACTTGTTTTTTTTTTCTTTTTGGTGCTTGTACTACTAATGTACTACTTTTACATTTTTCTTAATAAATCAATCCTGTTTGGGAAAGCTGAACTTCAGGTATTATTGTAATGTAACAAGCCCTTCTTTGATTGGATAAGGTGGAGATTGTGACATCACTCCTCCTCTCCACCTCATCCAATCAAAAAACGCTTTGTATTTATTGAAAAAACTACAAGACATATTGTGAATTGCAGGAATGCTGAGTGACCGACCACCTTGGGTCAGTGTGCAGTAGGGCAGCCACTTGGCACAGGACCTGGCAGATTTCGGTGATCGCTGTAGAGGCTCTGACTAATACAGTGATTGCCCTCTTCCCCAGCGGACTCTCGTATGATGTATGCTTATTTACATTGTGCCAAACTGGACCAATGTAAATATGCAATTAATATCACACCTGGAATTTAGATTTATTTACACCCCTCTAAGCTACATCCAATATCCTTGCAATCAATCAATGCAATTAAATCATGCAAACTTTACACAGCCGTGCTCACTGCGCTCTGCACAGGTTGATGTGTGGTAAGTTTTAAAGTTGAGAGGTAGGTACTGTGTAAGCCCCAAGAGTTACATGATTGTGTCATTTATGAGCCAGCATCTTATTGCAGTATCTAGATGCTGACCAGGGGTCCATGCTCAGCTGCAGATGGTGGCAGCCCTCTTGGGAGTAAGATGGAAGCACTGTCAGGGGAAGTACTGTCTTCTGTTTGTAAAGTGAGAAATCCTGCAAGTGTTACATGTACACAGTGTTGCCCTGTATATATTCTCTCAACATCATAAATTATATCTGAACTAGATCTTAAAACTGAATATGTCTGCAGGCTACTCGCATAATACCTCATTCATTCTTCTTTTCTTCATCACAGTTCTTCAGATGGGTTGTCTTAATCTGCCAAGAAATAATAGGTGGTATTCACTCTGAGTATGAGGTGGGGCAGCATTCTTGTAACGCAGCCAATTGTAGGCAAATACCTTGAAGTGTTTTTCAGGCAGCCCAGCATGGAATAGAATAAACCTCCTGCTTTTTTTTCTCCTCACTTTGAAGATTCTAACTATTGACTGCATTCAAAAGTGGACCTACTGTACTTTAAAATCTATCTAAACAAAATTTAAAATGAAAGAATACGTCAACCCAACATTTCATATTCCTGATATGTGCCTGCTGTACCGTGTACTCGTATGAAAAAGTATCCTGTTCTATTTATATTGCTTCCTTTGAGTGGATTCCCTGGTGTTCCTGCCAGTCCCCCTGCTTTCTTATTAAAAACTGACCACACTAAGCAAGAAAGCTCAGCGTGCTCAATTCTGTGCTAGGAACTCTGTGTGCTCTCCTCCACTGATCAGGCTTGTGCTGATACCCCCCCCCCCCCCCCCCCCCCCCCACACACACACACACAACCATTCACTAGGGAGATCAGTGTGCCGATGTTTCTTCTCCCCCACCTCTCTATGCAGCTGAGAACAGAGGGAATGTGTTCACTTATATAGCACCATCCATTTACGCAGCGCTTTATAAATATATTATACATGAACTTATTTTTAAAAAGGGGAAACATAGTGTTTTTTTTTATATCTATAAATAAATGTGTTGCTGTTTAATTTCTATTTTAAAATGTTCGGGTTGTTTACATATACCTTAGCTTTTGGTCTCTTGCTCACAAAGAATCAGCATCCTGCCTTCAAGTGTATAATCCCAAGCGCTTTCCTGCTCCTGGTCAGCCACTGATGTCACATACAGCCGCCAATGCAAGTGAATGACTGTACTTGAATAAATGGCAAATGCTTCTGCATCACCATTTGGGCTAGGTTCACATATGTGCGGGTGGTGCGGCAGCGGATCCGCACGAAAATCTGAGCAGCTGCACTGCCCGCACAGAGAAATATGGACCCGCTGGCGGATGACATTAGTTCTAATGACACGCCGCTCGCACTGGCAAACGCAACCATACTGGGAACCGAGGTTCCCGTGCGGGCTGCGTTTTCAGAAGCAATGCAGGGACTTCTTCCCTGCTTGGCATGGGAGTCCATTCAAATGAATGGGCGCCCGTGCAAAATGCGGCCCGCATATATGTGAACCAGGGGTTAGGCAAGTGTGCTTATCTGGTGTATTTCCCTAAACGCATTGATTTTGCATTTGGGAAAATACTCCATACACACATGTGCAAGTGAACACTGATGAGGGAACGGCCTGCCTTTTTAATTACTGCATTTTGGCAAGATTGGATTTAGATTTGTAATGTTTTGGCTGGTTTTGAACGAGGTTCAGAACACAGTTTAATGGGGTCAGAAGAAGAATAAACTGGCCTTTTATTTCTGCATTAATTGCTGCAGACAATGCTGGCTGCAATCAGAGCAGGCGCTTTCACTCTGCAGCAGGGGCGGACTGACAACTCATGGAGCCCCCGGGCAATAGGGGATCATGGGGCCCCTGTGTCCTTGCCCAAACTCAAAAAAGCCTATGAAAAAGGTACCAGGGGCGTCTCATGGGGCCCCCTACTGACCCGAGTTTCCAAATGGTCAGTCCACCCCTGCTCTGCAGTTCTCTTTCATCATATTGAATTCATGAGACATGCTGGTTTATGCTTTTTGCTTTTCATCCTGCCTAAAGCCCTATGTCTGCTGTAGTGCAATGCATTCCAGTCTGTTGATAATCTTCCTTGTGACAAATTGTGTCAGCATGAATATCCATCGAAGGAATATCCTTTATCACGTTAAAATATACCATACAATAGGACATTTTTACTAAAATTAGAACTGCCTGGGTTTCTCACAGGAGCCATTAATAAGGTTCTTGCCTTTTGTTCAACCCTGCATTGATGGCTCCACACTGGTTAATGTGGGGCAACCCTGGCAGTCCTACAATGTCTTTCTTTATTACAGACCCCTTTTTTTGCAGATCTATGCCTAATAAAGACAGTTTATTAATGTTTACTTAGAATGCACTTTTCTGAAGTGAAACTTTACTGTACTGTAAGTCCTGAAAGTGATCATGTTTAATTGCTGTGAAAGAAGAGAACTATTGAGTTTCTCAGCGGAGGGACGCACTCATCATCTGTAAATTCTACTATGGAAACGCCCCTGGCCTCAACTAACTTCCCCGTTCAGGAATGTTTGCAGGCAGCAAGCCTTTCTACATTTAAGGAATGCTTTTGCCTTTCGTTTTCTGGGTGCTGTTTTTCAACAGCTAAGCTGGCAAAGATTATTTGAAAGTAGCTGTTTTTGGCCCTCTGTATTGCACAATTTACTTTCGAAAAATGCCATGTTTTGTTAGGCCTCGTTAATGCAGGCGTACTTAAGCATTTGCCAGGGCCATGTTTGCCTGCTCAGGGATGCACAGGTGTAGGTGTTTCATTGTAGGCATTCCCATTCAGGCAACCCTATTCATGTCAAATTGCTTCCATTTTGAGAGCTTGGTGGGTGCAGATGTGGGCCCTTAAATGCAGACAGTTTACTTATTGGGGACCTGCATGGATGTCAGATTGGAAGCAGTGGCTGTGTTCATGCACCCACTGCATCCCAATTGACTAGAATGGGACTGCCTGCATGGGGATGCAGAAATTCCTGTGCTCAGGCATCAAAAGGTACATGCCAAGGTACTAGGTGTAATCCTAAATTGTGAACTCTTTTCAGCCCCACATCCAATCAATGTCCAAAGCCTGCTGCCTCAACTTCCGCAACATCTCTAAAATACGTCCCTTCTTAACGAATGACACCACAAAGCTCCTAGTCCACTTCCTGGTCATCTCTCACCTCAACTACTGCAACTTCCTCCTCATTGGCTTACTGTTACATTGTCTGTCATGAATGCTGCTGCCAGACTCACAGCAGACTAACAACAACTTACAAAGCCACTCATAACATTGCCCCCAGCTACAATACTACCCTAGTTTCAAAATACCAACCTGATCATTCTTTGTTCCTCCCAAGACCTACTGCTCTGTAGCTCCCTTGTCACCTCCTCCCAAGCTCACCTCCAGGACTTCTTCTGAGCCTCTCCATTCCTCTGGAACTCCCTACCCCAATCTGTCTCACTGTCTCCTACTCTGTCCACTATTAGATGATCCCTGAAAACTCTGCTCTTCAGAGAGGCCTACCCTGCCCCCACCTGACAACTGTATTTCCACTTTCTCCATTCGCCACAGTTATGACCTTTTGCATCTCTTGCCCCTCCTTCTTATATTGTAAGCTCCAACAAGCCGGGCCCTCTACAATTACAATATAATTTAATATAGCAAATTTTACTGTCTGCCCTTATGTTGAAAAGCGCTGTGTAGACTGTTGGTGCTGTATTAATCCTGTATAATAAAGAAAAGCTCTCTTGTACTGTACATGTAGATAGTAAAAGAATGAGACCAATCATTTACCACTAACGGGTTTTTGTGCCCTGGTTCAATGATGTGATTTTGGACATGTTTCAGAATGCACTGAATGGTATGTCAAGTGCAGGGGTGGACTGACCATTTGGAAACTCGGGCACTGCCCGAGGGCCTGGGGTCAGTAGGGGGCCCCATGAGATGCCCCTGGTACCTTTTTCATAGGCTTTTTGTGAGTTTGGGTAAGGACACAGGTGTCCCATGATCCCCTATTGAGGGCCCTGGGTCAGTAGGGGGCCCCATGAGATGCCACTGGTACCTTTTTCATAGTCTTTTTCGAGTTTGGGAATGGACACAGGGCCCCATGATCCCCTATTGCCCGGGGGCCCCATGAGTTGTCAGTCCGCCCCTGGTCAAGTGAGAACATTGTTTTCTAGGGAGATTGTTCACACTTATTTGTTCCAAATGTGATGCGATTTCCAAAAGGATCCTGTGCGTGTTTGTTGTGGTGCTGTGTGTTTTGTAGCCCATGTAACATGGGGGATGATTAGCTTTAGTGGTAGCTCAAGTGAGTCCACGCTAGTCAGAAACTCTATTTCAGGGCTTGGTAGCCCACTTTTATTAAAAGGCAAAAAAAAAAAAACCCCACAAAAGTCCAAAATAAGCTTTTCCAAACGGGTTCTTCTCCAGTTGTAAATACAAATGAAAAATACTAAGCCTCCTGGCTACTCCTTATTAGCACTGCTAGTCATCAGTACCTCTGCTGGTATGGGTCTCCCAGACTACTGGCTATTCGGGGTGCACCACCTCGGACCTCTTTAACGCACACAGCCTTGAGCCCTTACGCACACAGCATCTGACTCAAAATGGCAGCCACTGCTCCAACTGCACTCCACTCCCCCCTGCAACTCTCAGCAGACCATCATTATAAGGGCTGTGAGCACCTGGGCCCACACTCTGTTGGTTGACTACAAAACTTGGACACTGTATTGGAGATTTCTTACCTCCCAGGGCACTTTGAAATCCCCAAACTATGCAGCCCCATCCAGAAATATCAAAATCCGGAGAAACCGGCAACAGCAGTTTTCTCCACTCAAAATCTACGCTCCGCAGTTCTGCACTCCGCACATCTGCAAAGCCTGCGTCCGTTTCCTGACCATCTCTACCCATTTTCATTCTGTGACAGGGCCCTGCACTGTTACACCCATAGACTTGAGTGGACATTGCATTCAAAGCATATAGGTGTTCAAATGAACTGCGACTTCAGTGTTTTATCTAGGACAATGTCCTGTATTCAGTAATTCCTTTCGAGAGAGAGAGAAAAGAAATCACAGCTGTGTCCAATCGCACCAGAATCTTGAAATAGCAAGATTTGGAAATACATAGAAATCACACCTCATCAGTGTGAACCAAGGCTTACAGGGTGCTTACAATCAGCTTTTATTTATTTATGTGAAACCTTTATCCCAAAAGGAAGAAAAAAATAAATGTAAATGTTTTTTTTGTTTTTTTTGCGGTCCTGTAAATGAGGCCTTTGGGGTCAGATGTTTCTCCAATAAGAGATTAACATAACACTGGCCTAAAAAAAAAATCAAAGTAAAAGTTTTATAAATATAGAGCTGGAAAATAACTAATGTAAACTCAGCCATTTATTTGTGTATTTTTATAACCGTGAGGAGTGGTACTTTTGCTAGCTAGCGACACTCTTCAAAACTGCATGGCATACCAATCCCACTACATCATGCTGATCAGCAGGACAATTTTGCCTTGTGAGATTGAGGGGCGGCTGTTCCAGGCAACAGTCTATTAATTGCAAATCCTAATTAGCAAATACAGCAAGCCCGCTCCCATTACCTTACTTCTTTATGTACCCCCCTAGATTGTTTTAGTCTGGCATATCAGACTTTTTTTTTTTTTTTTTTGATCCACATGCTGCCTTCACACTCCTTTTTTGTGACTCCTTTAAGAATTTAACCTAACTAGGTTGGCCATACACGATACAATTTTCTGTCCAATTTCTGCCCAATTTTCTTTAGATTTACCTTCAACTATGTAGTGCAAGAGCCTGCCTAATTGGATACAATTGAAAGTGTTGTTAGGTTTGACCTCCTATTATATGGTTTTTGGTAAATCTAAACCAAAAATCTCAAGAAAATTGTATAATGTATGGCCAGTCTTAGGCTTCAAGCCATTCTCTAGTAGATGAAAGTTACACTAGTAGTTTTGCATCTGCCTATTCTACATCACTGATCTTGCATCATGCGATAGATTTGCTTTAGAATTCTGCAGAATTGATAAGTAAATACATTCTGAAATGTTTTTTAGGTCCTTGCTCAAGAATTAAATATTGTAAGTTGTATTTATTAATGCAGCATTACAAAAATGCGATCTTCTAGAAATAGGTAGCTCTGGCCCTGAGTAGACAGTGTGCCCCCTTGCAGATTTTTTTCCCCCTTCATTTCAGTTAGCTTTAACTACTTCCCGCCCGGTCTGTAGTAAAATGATGGCCCTCCGGGAGGGTGTCATATGATGTCCTTCCCGGATCACGGTTTGCGAGATCTGTCACCGGCTGTGTACCTTGGACACAGCCGATGACAGATCTGTGTACCAGCCCTGTTGCCAGTACCATGTGACCTGCTGTGACCAATCACAGCAGGTCATATGACAGTTGTATACAATAAATGGCTTCCTTTCATGCCATCCATTGTATACAAGTGTGTCTAGCTGTGAATGGTCACAGTGATCACATGCACAGACTGGGCCAGTCATAGCCCATCTGTGTCATGTGATTAGCCGTGGCCAATCATAGCTACTCACAACAAAAAAAGCTGAATGGAATACATTTCATTCAGTTAAATGTTTGCTTATAGCAAAGAAATTCTTTGCTATAAGCAATCAAATTGTGTAAAAAAAAAAAAAAAAAAAAAAAAAAAATACCAATCACTTCCTCAAAGTAGTACAATGTTACTATGGTAACATTTATACTACATTGGTCATAGTGTATTATGAAAAAAAAAATCTTAAGAGAAAACAATTTAATAAAAAAATTGAAAAAAAATATTGCTTGAATAATTTTTTTCATACTGTCACCAGTCAGTGTCCCTGATCACTGCCACACCAGTTATGTGCTGACGATGTACTGCACTGGTGACAGTATGTAAAAAGAAAAAAAAATTGTAAAAATAATTTTTTTAATTTCTTCATTTTCCAAAAAATTACGACAAAATTACAACTTCAAAAAACTCACCATGCCTCTTATGAAATACGTCAGACTGTCTACTTTGCAAAAAAGGGTCATTTGGGGAATATATGTACTGTTTATGAGCCTCAAGAAATTAGATTGGCTGTCAGTACTTCAGGATTGATCAATTTTCAGATATATCCCATAGTTTGTGAACTCTATAACCTTCCTACAGACTAAATAATAAACATTGATTTGGGTTATTTTCACCAAAGAAATGTAGCAGCATACATCTTGGCCTAAATTTATGAAGAACAATTATTTATTTGCAAACTTTTATAACAGAAACAAAGAAACGTTTTTTTTTTTTAATTATCGGTCTTTTTTTTTTGTTCATTTTCGCAAAAAATAAAAACCCCGGCGGTGATTAAATACCACCAAAAGAACGTTCTAGTTGTGTAAACAAAAGGATAAAATTTTAGTTTGGGTACAGTGTTGCATGACCGCGCAATTGTCATTCAAAGTGTGAGAGCGCTGAAACCTGAAAAATGGCCTGGGAGGGAAGGGGTAAAAGTGCCCTGTATTGAACTGGCTAAAATTTGACAGTTTTCTCCTACACACAAGTTAATTTTGATCTAACAAAAGAAGTGAGCCCACAAACATATTCAAACACCCTTGCTACAGAAGATCTTCTGCAAACTTTAAAATTTGAGCAATTAAATTCCTGGCATGTAACAGTATTCAATAACCGAAATTTATGAAACCGCTCCAGTCTTTATCATTAAGGCCTGGTTCCACATCTATGCGGGCTTGCCATGACTGTGGTTGTGCGGGCATGTCAGCCCGTTCATTTGATTGCGCTGCCATGACTGCATTTCCCAAACAAAAAAAAAAGGTTCCTGCACCATTCTAAAAATGCAGCAGCTGGGAAATTGCATGATGCTTTTGCACCATGCAATTTCTCTGCAATTACAGTACCCGCAAATGCACTGCATGTTTAGATGCATGGGAATGCCCTTCAGAATGAATGGCAGCCCCACGCGTTTTCAAACAGCAGTGCGGTTTGACTTCAGGGGGTTGCAGGTGTGGGAATTACTGCGTTGCCTGCACCCACAACCACCCACATAGACGTTAACCAGGTCTAAGGCCTCATGCACACTGGGCGTCTTGTAAACGTTTTTCTCTTGGCAGGAGAAAAGCAGTTTCAAAACCCTATCTAAGCTATGCTTTTGCAAACGCATTTAGGTGTTTCAAGCACCTATAAAGTATTCTGGCTACTGAAGTGAACCACGCTCATGCACAAAATGCACCTTGCTCATGCGCGCATTCACCCACGTCAGCCATTTTTTTTCTCCGCTAAATGCTCCTCGAACGGACAATTGATTTTTTTTTTTTTTTTTTTTTCTGCCTCTAAACTCCTGTAAACGCCTATAGCATACACAAACACACAGGCTCACATGGAGAGGCGTTTAGAGGGATCAAAAACAAAAGTGTGCATTAGACCTAAAAAAAAAACATTTTCCAGTCTGTGATTTTGTCTAGGCTGAGATCTCATCAGTTTGCTGCAGGCAGGAGGAAGTATTTTCTCAATTTCCTTTCCTCCTGTGACTAGACTGCAGCGCTTTTAGCAAATGACAACGTAAAAGGCTGCAGCAGGAGCTTATCTGTGTCAGACATTTACAGCCAGAACTGTGCAAATACTAGGATTTACTTGATTGTGTCATCCCTGGGCTGACTTCTTGGCCTGTGAATTAGATGCACTGGATTACCAAAAATGCAGTCTGCGCTATTTCAGATCTGTTTTGGTGTATTGAACAGGCCATTTAAATGAATGGTTTGTTTTAAATCAAAGTGCATTATCTGCACTGCAACTGATTGGACTGGGGAGAATGGACCATTACACTAATTGCTTAGCATGCATGCATGTAGCATGAAATATATTTGACAGTAGTTCAACTTTAGCCACTTTTCTACTGGGCAGTTTTCTCATTTTTCACACATGTTAAAATCAACATTTTTTTTTCTAGAAAATAACTTACCCCCAAAAAAAATAGAGGATGTGTAGAATAAAATGGTGGTAATTTAAATTTTTATTGTTGCATCACATTTGCACAGTTATTTATTTCAGGTACTTATATAGCGCCATCAATTTACGCAGCGCTTTACATACATATTGTACATTCAGATCAGTCCCTAACCCTCAAGGGGCGTACAATCTAAAGTCCATAACTTACATTCATACATATACATACTAGGGCCAATTTAGACAGGATCCAATTAACCTACCAGCATGTCTTTGGAGTTTGGGAGGAAACCG